GCAGGTCCCCGAGCAAGGGCAAGCAGCAGGCAGGCGAGAGGACACCCCCTTCTGTCTCTCTGCCTCTCTCTCTCCTCTGCTCTTCTCCCCTTCTGAGACCTGCGGCACGGTCTCGTTGCGTGGCCCATCTGTCTCTCCTCGTGGGGTTGGCTGCCCCATCGAGATCTCTCATCCACCACCCACCGTGCAGCTCCCTGCTTGGGACTCCCTGCCTCTTGGACCACTGCAGCCTTTTGGGGAACTGCGCTATCCCTGTCTGGGACTGGCGGCTCTAGGGACCCGCAGCCTGCCGCCCCTTCGGGTACCTGCAGCATTTTACTTAACCCATAACAGCTAGCAACTATGAAATCCAGAAAATACTGGCCTCTCTGATTCCCCAGGGACATGTTCTTGCCAATCCCCAAGCTCCAGAGCTCCCGCTATGGCTTGGCCCAGGTCAGTAGGGGAGTGGCAGGCAGGAGAAAGTTGGGAACATCATTTGGACAGCATACTGCTCTGCTAGGCTAACAAGTTCACAGGCCTCAGGCCCATGCCCTCTGGGAGTGAGGGACCAGAGGAGGTACGGCTGGTTCTGGCGCAGTTTAGTTTTTCTTTGACAGCTGGCATTTCCAAAACTGGTACCCACAGAGAGGAAAATCAGAACTTGCCACTTCAAACATCTTTCCCCCATCTTGTTCATGCTGCCCAGAACAAACTATTAGATGTAGGTCAGTATGGAGCCTCCTCGCCCACCCCTGCCTACTTACCAGCTCTCTGACTTTGCTCTCAGAAGGGATAGGAGTGCAGGTCAGGTGAAGAACAAGGCCCTGGCCTGTCTAAGGAACCAGACTCTGAATTCTATTTTTTTAATCTGAACCTTTATTATTACTTATTTGTTGTGTGTGTGCTTGGCTGCATGTATATTGTGCATGCCTGGTGCCCAGGAAGGTCAGAAGAGGATATCGGATCCACTAGACCTAGAGTTAGAACAGTTTGTGAGCCACCATGTGAGTGCTCTTAGCCATTTTCACGCTCAGACTAAAGTCGGGTAACCCTGCTAATCTCTGCTTGTCTAAGATTACAGGGTGGGAGGAGGAGCCTCCAGGAACCAGATAATTTCAGAGTACAGGATACCAGAGGAGGGTCCCGGGTCCCAGCTCTTTTTCTGTTTCCTACTTTCAGAGGGCAGGAAAACAGCACCAGGGAAGTGACAGGATTGGGGTTCTCTTGGGCAAAGTGGCAGAGTTGTGTGTCCTTTTCAGAACAGGTCACTTCCCCAAATGCCATAAAACCCACCCATCCTGTTGGACTTGCCCATGGCTATAACCCATCCCCCTACCCTGGCTGCTAGGACTGGGTGTAGGACGGTGTTAGTGCAGATGGATACAGTACTAGGAACCAGCCCTCAGGGCCAACCCAAGTGTAACTGCAGGTCAGTCTCCATGCAGGGGACCAAGACTCAGTCTGGACACGTCCTCAGCCAGTGCATCCCTACCCCACCCTCTTGTCTTCCTGGCTCAGCCAGCCCAACCCAGCCCAGCCCTGAGGAGAGCGTTGGCAGCTGGAGCTGGGAAAAGCACGGCAGAGCCAAGAACAATAGAGGCCCCGCCTGGGTGCAGCACAGACCCTCTTCTGGCTCAGGGTAGCCCCTCCTTCTGCCCGAGCCCTTCCTATTGTTTCCTCTCAGGCCCTACTTTCCTCCCTTTGCCAGACCCCAGGCTAGCCCCGCAAGTCATTGCATCTTCTGCCTTTGGGCAGGACCTTCCCTTAACCTCAGTTTCCTCAGGGTCTTCTGTCCTCCGTTTCTAGCTCTCAGGGAGTTCCCTCCTGCACCCAAATGTTTCTGGGAGGTGAATTGCTTCCTTCCTAGGTTCCTGACCCTGTCTTTCAGCTTTGGGGCTGTACTGCCCTCCATTCTGCTACAATGACAAAGGCTTGGTCTCTAAGCCAGGAGACAGAAGGCACAAGAGTCCCTTTTGCATGGAGGACTCTAATGGAACAGAGAATGCTGAATCTAAGCTCTCTGTGCAGTGGAGTCCTGAGGGTGCGAGGACTCAGGAGACACGGCCTCTCTTCTGGTACAGAACCCCACCACCACCGCTGTACAAGTGCTCAGCCCAGCCCGGCTGACTTTCGTTTTGGAAGTCCAAGTGGACAAACACTGACCTAATAGCGGCTCTGAGTGAAGTCATCCACCAGTACTAATCTTGGCAGAGAATCTCTGTAGTCCTGGTTGGGGGTGAGTGTAGGGACTTTGTGACTTTCCTACTCCACCCCCCAGTCAGCCATGGCCCCATCCATGATGGCCTAGGTGGTTACTTTCTTCCACACAGCTTCATGGGAAGAGATGTAGCAGACAGAGGTGTCTCCTGTTCCAAGGCCCGCGCTGCAGTCCTCCAGCACACTCTACCTGACCTACACTTGTTCCCTGCAGCCGGTCAGCCCGTCTCCGCTCCTTCCTCCTAGCCGCAGAGTGTTCCTTCACTCTTCTGAGCTTGCCTGCTTCTTCCCCCACTTCTCCCTCAGCTTGCTCCTGCTTTCCTAGTATATCTCCAAACTCTTGGAGGGAGAGGGAGCCCCAAGAGGGGTGTAATCATGAGAATGGGGTCACCTAGGGGCAGAGCTGCAGCAGATTTGGTTATAATTGAAAAGCCAGAGGCAATGGGAAATTCCTTTCCTTATTGATCCCAGTGGGAAATTAAAGCCAGTAGTGGAGCATAGAACTCTTATTGGCTGCAGCTCCTCCCATCCAACCGCTCTGGAGACCTAGCCCCTGCCCCTTGTTGGTTGCATCCCCCATCCATCTCTGCCAGCCCTCCTAGTGCCTTCCAGACCCCCTCAGTCCCCAGCTGCTCGCTTGAGTACCCCAGCTATTCCCCTGGAATAAAGGGCTGTTGGAGACTGAAACCCCCAGCCCTAGTTACTTGGCATATGTCCCCACCCTCACTCTCCTTCAGCAAAGTTGGGGTGCTTAGAGCTCTGGCCCTAAGCTGCCAAACCACAAACACATCTGGAAAGAATTCCCCGCCCAGTCCCACTTCCCTTTGTCTTACTTCTGTCTCTGGAAATCCTAGCCAGTTGCTAGAGGAGGGGGTGGTGGGGAAGAAGTATAGGGAGTGGGCCCAGGGCTCCCACTCCCAAGCTCCAGCTTCTGTGGCTCTTCATCTCAGAATTATCCCAGGCCTCCTTTCTAGGCTACCTAGGTGTCTTGACCCTGGTGGCCAGCAGTAAGGTTCTCAAGGCTCCTGGAAAGAGCGAGGGCTTGCCCTGCCCTTTTCTTTTGCATGAGGGAGAATGCCACCCAAGTAAGAGAATGGGCTCTCCTGCCTATGGGCTCCAGGAGTCTGGAGATGAACACAATGACCAGTTGAAGAGGTAGGGACACTGGAGGGGAGGGCAACAGGCTCCTGTTTTCTGCCTTGTTCTCTCCTCATTTCTTGGGCCAGAAGCCATATTTCACTGTCAGAACTTAAAATTCCTTCATTGTACCTACAGCAAGGCGACACTGGGGGCAGGGCGCGCGCGGGGGTGGGGGTGGGGTGGGGCAATCCAGCTCTGCAGCTGTCTGCGGTGAAACTTCTCGACCCGGTGTCCTCTTTCTTCCAGAAGCCTATGCCCCCTATGTCGTCCCCTCCGACCCCAATGAGCGCTCCCTTTTAAAATCTGTAGCCTGAGACTCAGGCCAAAGTGTCCCACTCCCTTCTGGGTGGTGGAGAATTCGGGGGCGGGGGCGGTCTAGAAGCCCTTCTGATAGGCAACCTCTCTTCTTCATCCTCCCAAGTTTTCAACACACCATTATTTGGGGATTGCCTCGACGTGGGCCTGAGTGGCTGGACACCGTCTGGCCTGGCTTTGAGGTTAATCCTCCAGGCCCAGTCCGCAGCTCAATTTGATTCCCTCGAAAGCCTGCTAGTCTCGGATTCACCGGGTCCAACCTTGGCCACGCTGACGAGGAGGGGCCAGGCAGGGACCTAGTTTAAGATCCTGGGGGCGGGTGTGTGTGTGTGTGTGTGTGCATGTAGGAAGGACCCTGGGAGGCTAGTGGTGGATCTGAAGCAAGGGCGAGAGCTTCCCGCGTGCCTCCAGGCCCTGCCTGTCGTCTCTGCTTCCTGATTTCTAGGCCTTTCCACTGGAGCTTCACCCACTTAATAACCATCCGCAGAGGGGCCAGGCCCGCCTGGCTTTCTGTTCAGTGTGGGGACGTCGCACACCGAGACCCACCCCTTCCCTGCGCAGCCAGCCTTTCCCCAACCCCAGGCATCTCCCAGCACAGGAGCCTCCGCGTCCTCCTCCGCCTCCTTGTGGCCCAGGGGGCCGGGGGAGCGGAGCCCTGGAGAAAGCTCCTTAATAAAAAGTCGTGTCAAGTGATTGGCTGTGACCTCTGCCCTCCTAGCCTCGCGCCCGGGGGCTCCAGTTTAACCCTTCATTGTCCGTCCAGTGCTTGAGGAGGAATGAATGAGTTGCCTTGTGCTCACTTCAGGCGTTACCAGGTACTACTCGAACCCAGAGCTGAGTCGGGGTGGAGGAGAGAGCGGCACCTCCCAGTCACCCAAAGGAACGCCTGAATTCTAAGCCTGATCCAGTTCAGGCTCCTATGGGGTCCGAGTTTGACTGCCAGTTGCCGGGCCCCAGTTCCTGCTCAAGTGGGGTCTCCAGATTTCTGGCGCCGAGCTGTCCAGAGCACCGAGTTTGTAGAGGGCTCATAGGAACTGGCAAAAACGGGACCTGTGTTTGTCCTTCAGGCCGTGAGAGCGGAGCATCCATGACTAGGCGAGGCGTGCCCTGTTCTTGCCATAGCATAAACCCTGTGCTTGTCTTCTGACGCTTCCCTGTCCGCCTACTGATGCGGGAGAAGGGTATCTTGGCCCTTAGAGAACCACAGACCCACCCACAGTTCTAGAAACAGGCGGATTCGGGAATGGATGGGGATGAGGCGGCCACAGAGCAGGGCCCCCAGGTGGGGTGGAGGGCGGGGCGGGGGCGGGGCCGCCTTATGCACCAGCTGGGTATAAAAGGCTAGAGCACCCGCGCCCAGCGGCTGTGCGATTGTCTTCCGCGCGGCTCGGACCCCCGGTGGAAGGATTAATTTTGTAAAGGGAACAGAGAAGTAGTTTTGGGCTAAAGAACGCAGTGTCCAGTGCTCCAGCTGAGGATCTAAAGAGAAAGCCACCTTGCTGCCACTATGCCTAACTTTTCTGGCAACTGGAAGATCATCCGATCAGAAAACTTTGAGGAATTACTCAAAGCTCTGGGTAAGGAGGTTTTCGAGCGTTGGGAAGGGGGCAAGAAGGGCGTTGGAATCCTTGAAGCTGAGGAAGTGAAGGCCTCAAAGAAAAGGAGGACTAATCAGGGGTGGGTGCCTGGGAGTCTGCGTCCCAGAAAAGGGGCGTGTCGGATATCCAGTGTCTGGAGCATCAGGCCCGGGATTCTGAAATCCTATTTTCTGAGGCTGGGCGCCCACCAGTGCCAGCTTCAACAGTGACTCAGAGGCTGTGAATCAAGTAGAAACCAGAAGCACGAGATTAGACTGTGTGTAGGGGTTGGGGAGGGGCGTTGGCTAGCCTCGCCGCCTTGACCTGCTGACCAGGGAGGGCACCTGGCCCAGCTCTGAGAATCCGGTATACAGGCAGGGAGCCCTAGGAGACATTCCAAGCTCTTTCCTCGTACTCTAACAGTAACCCAATCCCCGCGACAGGTCCCTGACTTCCAACACTTGGCCCCGCCCACCAGGTGGTCCACCGCTCTAGCTCCCTGACCCTCCCCCATTTGCTTGCACTTTCCACTCTGTTTTCCCGACCCCACCCCCACCTGTGAGACAAATATTTTCCTACAGCAAATGGCTCCAAAGCCCTAAATTCGCTCTGGACAATTACCACTTTCTTAGATTTCAACAAATGTTATCGTGTGGAACACCAATCCCCATTTCCGAAAGTTCCTTAGTCAGGGACCAGCTGCACCCCGAGCAGCTGGGCTGTTAGCCAAGGGTGGGAACACAGACTCCACTAGACGGGCCCTTCGGACCTAACCTGCCCACTTCTGCTGCCCTTCCAGGACTGGCCTGGAAGGTGAAGGAAAGGAGAGACTTCTGAGGGGAGATGGAGTTAGCCACCCCAGGGAGTGGAAACAGCTCCAGAGCCTTCCATTTCTGGACTGACTGGAGAGGAACCCCGGTTGAGCTGGGAAGCAGGGGGCGGGGTACCCTTTGAAGAGCTAGGGACTGTACAAGAGCAAGTCTGGGGCTAAAAGGAATGTCGCGAGGGGAGGGCAGCAGGGCCTCAGTTCTCGTCTTTCCTTACTGTTAGTCAGCTCTTTGTGTCAGCTAACCGCAATGTTTCTTAGAGTCATACCCATTTTTCTTGCTTCTCCCTTGCTGGAATTAAAGATCAAAGGACAGAAATTTTCTTTTCAGAAAATCTATTGCCATTTCCTCCCCATTTGCTATAAATTCTGGACCCCCTCCCTGGTGGATGTGGGAGCCTGGCATCACCCCCAGGTTCCAGCAGAGAGAAAGGCCCAACCCTGTTATCTGCCTTCAGATTGTTTGTCCTCCCTGTAGGGTCTCTTAGAGCCACGCGACTTGCTAGGGGGCAGATTGAAAACAGACCTGTTATACAAACTGTCCTGTGTCAGCCCAGGTCATCTGAGTCAGGCCCCCAGCTCTGCAGGCACCAAGGATTGGGTGGAAGGCAGTGTCTTCTGAACCCAGGCTCTGCAGACTCCTCAGTCCCTGCTCTTTTGTTCCCCGCTTTGGTTTTTACAGACAGGGTTTCTCAGCAGCTATGGAGCCTGTCCTGGAACTCGCTCTGCAGACCAGGCTGGTCTTGAACTCACAGAGATCCAACTGCCTCTGCCTCCCTGTGCTGGGATTAAAGATGTGTGTCACCACCACCTGGCAATGCTATTCAATGGTTGATATTACGGAGGACGCTCCTGGTTCACCATGGTAGTCAGGGCAACACAGCAGGTCTTGTGTTGGGTCTTGTGTTGAGACTCATGAATCGGCCTTGGGACGGAGGGCAGTGCCAGCTTTCCACTCAGAAACTGTTGTAGAGCTATGGAATGTGTGTGTGTGTGATAGCAATGGCAGTTTCAGTGTCTTGCCCCCTGATGTACCCTTGAAGGGTTGGTTCTTCTTCACCAACAGACTTGGAGAGGTTGGGGTAGAGCCTTGTTTTGGTGCCCCTACCTTCTGGTTGTGTCCGCAGAGGGGTGTTCTCCATCTACATAGGCCTCTTCATAACTGGGGACAAGGAAGGGACAGTATATGAAGACATAGAGACCCTAAATATACAGAAGCCAAGTGGGAAGGCCTAGAGGATCGTGGGGCTTGAGACCTCAGAGTGAGGAAGGGGACGCTACCCTTTTCTTCCCCCTTGCTCTTCTCAGGACAACAGAGCATTCCTTTGAAGACCTCCTGGAAATGTCGCAGAAGCCCCAGAGGCTGTCTGGCACAGGGACCCTTGTCCAAGCCTAGTTTCGACTTTTTGTTTGTTTGCATATATTACTTGCACAAAATAATGGGTTTCACTATGTTCTGGTTTCTTTCTTTTTTTTCTTCCTTCCTTCCTTCCTTCCTTCCTTCCTTCCTTTCTTTCTTTCTTTCTTTCTTTCTTTCTTTCTTTCTTTCTTTCTTTCTTTCTTTCTTTCTTTCAGAAGGGTTTCTCTGTATAGCCTTGACTGTCTTCTTGCTCTGGAGACCAGGCTGGTCTCAATCTCAGAGATCTGCATTGCTCTGTCTCCCGAGTGCCGGGATCAAAGGTATGTGTCATCACCACCTTTGTACCTGACCTTGTGAATCCTAAGTTCTTAAACACGGAGCCATAGGACCATTTGAAGAAGCTACTGTCCAGGGGCTGGAGAGATGGCTCAGCGGTTAAGGGCATTGCCTGCTCTTCCAAAGGTCCTGAGTTCAATTCCCAGCAACCACATGGTGGCTCACAACCATCTGTAATAAGGTCTGGTGCCCTCTTCTGGCCTTCAGGCATACACGCAGAAAGAATATTGTATACATAATAAATAAATAATTAAATAAATAAAAGTTTATTAAAAAAAAGAAGCTACTGTCCATTTGATAGTTAAGGGGTATGAAGCTGAAGAAAGTTAAGCTTTCTGCTGAGAGTCACTCAGCTTGGAGCGGGGATTATCTCAGCTTCTGGAACTTACTCCCCAAGCCTCTGGCTTTCTACAGAGAGAAGTATCTTTCTCAGTTGAGACTCTGTTCCTCATTTTTGGGAGGGGTAGAGACTGCAAATGAGGACCTAACCTCATACCAAACAGGGTGGACAGCTGGGACAGAGAGGAAAGTAACCTTGCTTGCCTAGTTTACTGCACATGGGCACAGGACATTTAGTAACTCTGATAAGACTACCTGGGCCAGTCTCTGGAGTCAGGTGTTGAAAGGCCAGAGTGCGGTAAATTGAATTCTTGTCAGGAAGCCCATGGGGGAAGCTGCCCTAAGGAAGCTAGGAGTGGGGTGCTGAGACTTGGTAAGTCCCATCCACTACTGGCCGTAGCCCAGGTAGTATTCTCTACCTCTCCTCTCTCTCTTCTCTCTCCTCCCTCAACCTCTAGCCTTTCACCACTGCCGCCTCTATCACCATCCCCAACCCCCTCACCTACCCCTCCCATACCATCAGGGCTCACTGTCTCAGGCAGGGTGCGACAGGGCCACTCTTCTCTCCCTGCAGGGGTGAACGTGATGCTGCGGAAGATCGCCGTGGCTGCAGCATCCAAGCCAACAGTAGAAATCAAACAGGAGGGTGACTCTTTCTACATCAAAACTTCCACCACTGTACGAACCACAGAGATTAACTTCAAGATTGGGGAGGAATTCGAGGAGCAGACTGTGGATGGGAGAGCCTGTAAGGTGAGGAAGAGGGAGCCCCGCCCCCATCCCAGCACCTACTTATGCTTCTCAGTGTCCAGTTTCCCTAGACTCTCGTCAGAGAGTCTCTAGGAAGTGTAGGGTGCTGGAAAGGGGTCTCTAGTCTCCCTTCCATTTGCATTAGCCCTTACTGTGAGCTCAACTCATTTGGCCTCTGATCCCTTCCAGAGTTTGGTAAAATGGGAGAGTGAAAACAAAATGGTGTGTGATCAGAGACTTCTGAAGGGAGAGGGCCCCAAGACCTCCTGGACCAGAGAACTGACCAATGATGGAGAGCTGATCCTGGTGAGCCCCGCCCCACCCATCCCCTGGAAGACCCCTGCTGCCTTCAGCCTTCTCTGTCAGGTCCCAGATTACAGCAGGTTCAAAAGTGACTGTGGTCACTTTCCTTAGCCTCCTGAAGGGGCTGTTTGGAAATGCTAACCCTTTCTGTGCAACAAAGGTGTGCCCAGGGGAGTTCACAGTTTCCCAACAGGCTGTCCCTGACTGCCTCTGGACTCCAGGAGGAAGTGGGTTTCTGCTTGATCCCTAGCAACGATGCCCAAGCAGTCTTGCATCTGCTCTTACCTATTTGGGCTTGGAAGTAAAGCTGTCTGCTTCTCAACCCTCCCTTACAAAACCAAGGCTCCAGGTGCCTCACCAGCTAACCACCTCTATCCTTCTAGACCATGACGGCAGAGGACGTTGTGTGCACCAGGGTCTACGTCCGAGAGTGAGTGCCTATCAGTCCAAGAGCTGCGAGAAACTTCTTCTCCTCCTTTTACGGGCCCCCTAAGCTCCCTCCCTTGTCTATCTTACCAGCTAGCTCTCCCCTTACTCCTGAAGGTCACTCTTCCTCCCTTCCTCCAGCCTTTTGTTCTTTGCCTCTTCTGTGCCAGAGAGGAGTTGACTACAAAAGCCCTAAACCCCTTCTACCGCCTGAGCCCTCCCAGGTCAGCAGGCTCAGTTCCATCCAGGGTCCTTCCTGGAGAAGATTGTCTCTCTGGCCTCAGCTCTTTATCCTTGTAGTCCGTATATTTATTTGTTGATTTTATTAAAATGTTTTAAAAAGTAAATTCTGTGGTTCCCTGGGCAGTGGCAACAAGGGGCCCTGTTTCCCTTTCTGAAGTGCAGTGGGAGAGGGTGCTGTCCCAGCAGGCCAGCCTCACTTGCCTGCCATGAGTGTCTCCTCTGTTCTCTTCCCCAGCCCTGGCCCCCTAACCAGACTTCTAGGGCAGTGACTCGCACTCTCTCCACCTGTTTTTCAGAGTGGCGACATGCACTGGCTTCCCACACGGTTTCAGATGAGCCATTACCATTCGCAGGCTGACCTTGATCTTATCTAGTCTCTCAGAGAGGGCTCTCCTGCCAGTCAGCACCCTGTATCTGCCAGTGTCCTTCCTCTTCACCTCCAGACATCTCACACACCCTTTCCGCTCCTGGCTTCCCCATCTCCCAAGCTCCTGAGGTGCTCCTGAGCCTGCAGAGTACATATTCAGGTGTTCCAAAGGTGTGGTCACAGGCAAGTTACTCAAACATCTGTGGGCATCTTTTGTTTTTAGAACACAAAACTATCTTAAAGCATGGTGGCTTATACTTTTAATCCCAGCATGCAGGAGACTGGAGCAGTCAGTGAGTTCAAAGCCAGCCTAGTACAGTGTGACTCCCATCTCAAAAGAACAATGACAGAGCTGGGGAGATGGCTTAGCGGGTAAGTGCGTGTTATGCAAGCATGAGTACTCAAGTTTGGCCAGAAGAGGGCACCAGACCTCATTACAGATGGTTGTGAGCCACCATGTGGTTGCTGGGAATTGAACTCAGGACCTTTGGAAGAGCAGGCAATGCTCTTAACCTCTGAGCCATCTCTCCAGTTAAAGAATTTGCGTGTCATCCTTGCGCAGGGGCCATGCTAATCTTCTCTGTATCATTCCAATTTTAGTATATGTGCTGCTGAAGCGAGCACGAGTACTGAAGTTTGGATCCTTAGAACTCACATGGCATAGCTGGGGATGGTATAGCTAGATGTAGTAGCATTCTTTCAGGGAGGTAGGAGACAGACAAAGGCTTCCCTGGGGGCTCATGGGCTAGACTGGTGGACAGAGTGATGAACAAGAGAACCTATTTCAAACAAAGCGGAAGGCAAGAACCGACACCTGAGGTTATCCTCTGACCTCCACTTGTGACATGGTATGTGTCTGTTTTCATACACACGTGTGCGGACACACACGCTCAAACACAAACAAACATACATCACCACCGCCACCAAAGACAAAAACAACTCAGGACTGGACATAGCTTGCATAGTACTAGAATACTTGCCTAGTAGTATGCCCTGAGTTTTATCCCCAGTACAGTTGAGGTTCACACTGTAGTTTAGTGGAAGAACACTTGCCTAGCATGTGCTAGGCCTGGAGTTCCACCCCCATCACCACAAAGCCCAAACCAAACCCCACAAACTCGCATGATGTCTGGCTTATGTACTAGTAAATTCTCCCTGGGTCCAAAGTCTCAAAGACTGTCGCTGCCCTCCTTATTCCTCTATCTTGAGTATTTGCACTGTCCACACTCAACCTTGACCTCATCAAAATGAGCTCCAGATGCAGCCAAGCTTACAGAATCACAGCCTGGGACACAGACAGAGACATTCTCTACCGGGTTCATCTCTTCACATCGGAAGCCTTGATTAGGCTCTGATTAGACTGCAGGACTGTCCTGGGGCCAGTCGCTATCAACAGGGCACAGGTCTAGTGGTGGGTCATAGCTGGACACGAATCACACACGGCCAAGGAACAGGTGGGATACTGATCATTCCTCAGAAACCCAAAGGGTAGAAAGGCATTTTTGTTTCAATGAAGAAGGTCACTATGATTCCACAGTTTCTAATCCACAAAGCAGTGTTTATAAACACTCACAAGGTGCTAGAGTTAAAGAAAATCTCATGAAAAATGCAAATCAAAACAACTCTGAGATTCCATCTTACATCTGCAAGAATGGCCAAAAATCATAAACACTGATGACAACTTATACTGGAGAGGTTGTGGGGGAAAGGGAACACTTCTGCATTGCTGGTGGGAATGCAAGCTGTTACAGCCCCTTTGGATATCAGTATGGCAATTTCTCAGAAAATAAGAAAATAACCTTCCTCAAGACCCAGCAGTACCACTTTTAGGTATATATCCAAAGGATGCTCAATTGTGTCACAAGAACATATGCTCAACTAGGTTCATAGCAGCATTGTTTGTCATAGCCAGAACCTGGAAACAACCTAAATGCCCCTTGATCGGAAAATGGATAAGGAAAATGTGGTACATTTACACAATGGAGTATTTACACAGCAGAAAAAAATAACAACAATTTGAATTTTGCAGGAAAATGGATGGAGCTAGAAAACATGATATTGATTGAGGTAACCCAGACACAGAAAGACAATTATCACAATTACTCACTCATAGGTGGTTTTTAAACATAAAGCAAAGAAAGCCAGCCTACAAACCACAATCCCAGAGAATTTAGACAACAATGTGGACACTAAGAGAGACTTACATAGATCTAATCAACATGGGAAGTAGAAAGTAGAAAAGGACAAGGTCTCCTGAGTAAACTGGGAGCATGGGGACCTTAGGGGAGGGCTGAAGGGGGGAGGGAAGAGGCAGGGAGGGGAGCAGAGGAAAATGTAGAGCTCAATAAATATCAATAAAAAACGTATAAAAAAATCTCATGAAGCGCTTAGCAATGGAAAGTTTTCAAAAAAAACAATGGTTTAGAGCCGGACCTGATGTGCTGGGGGTGCCAGCAGGAGGACCAGGGGTTGGAAGCCAGCTTAGGATACTTGAAACTCGGCCATAATAAAGCTAAACCAAAAATGATGAGTTCAACTAAGCCTAACAATGCACAGCTGAGTTCCTGGTGTATGGGATGCTAAGGCAGAAGCAATGACTCCGAGTCAGAGGCCACCCTGCTCTACACAAGGAAACTTAGCTCAAAAGCACTGGGAAAGAAAAAAAGGTCAGGCGTGTGAGTCTACACCTTTAATCCCAATGTTTGGAGGCAGGGACAGGTTGACCTCTGTGAGTTCAAGGCCAGCAGCTACACAGGGAATTCCAGGACAGCCAGGGCTACACAGAATGGCTTTGTCTCAAAAACGTTCCAAACAGAAAAGGCTAATGAGAAAGCTCAACAGGTGAAAACAATCGCCGGGAAAACTTGGCAACCCGAGTTTGGTCCCTGGAACCCACAGTGGAAGAACCAGCTTCTGAATGGTGTCCTCTGACATTGTGTGCATGGGATGCTCAAACCTTGCTCACACCACACACCAATAAATACACGAAACACTGCTCTTTTGGGCAACCCATACACTAACACTGAATGAAGAATATCATATTTTTCAGAACATCAAAAGAGAAGGTTTCTACTTCTCTGATTCACTCTGCATAATTCTATGGAAATCTTCAAAATGTTATTATTTTAGCAAGGGGTTGGGTGGATGCAGGTCGTCAACAGAGAACATATTCAATATGTACAAAGCCTAGGCTTCCATCACCAGCATTCCAAAACCAGAAGCAAATCAGACTAAATAAAACAATAATTACCGTAGCTACCTCTTCATGTCCAAAAGGAAATATAAACCAGTATTAGATGACCTTTAAGTGGCCCTTACCCTTTCTGCATTCAGCTCCTTGAAGAAGGCTTGTAATCTTATCCACCTGTAGTACCTCTGTGTGTCTCCCTAGCTTGGTTCTGGGTAGTGCGACAGCCTTCTTTTCAGTTGGTATTGTCATTTTAATCTCCATTGCTTCCTTTCCTAGAAGGTCAGGGTGATTTGGGGCCAGGTACAGGCTTTGAAACGGGTTTTAGGTGTTTGATTTGGCTCCTAGGAGGAATTGGAGGTTAGAGAAATGGAAGAGCCTGGTGCGATGTTTGGGCCCAAGGTAGAGAAAAGTATGGTAGAGAATGTGGATTCTCTCTGCAGATGGGATGAATTGGAGAGGTGTGTTTACTGAGGATGGCCTTGGGACACCTGTCTTTCGCGGTTTCCCAAACTGAAAAAAAATTCTGTTGAGAACTGGCTGCAAAAAGGATCTTTCTCTCCCAGCACTCAGATGCAGGGGAATCTCTGTGAGCTCAAGGCCAGCTTGGTCTACAGAGTGAGTTCCAGGACAGCCAGGATTGTACAGAGAAACCCTGTCTCAAAAACCAAACAAACAAAACAAACAAACAAACAAATAGGGTCCTTCTCCCTCTGGCTTCTTGCTGGAGTTCACAGCTCAGCTCCAAGCTTTAGTTTCTTTCTTTCTTCCTACCTTGTCCTCAGCCTTCAACATGGCCTTTCCTCTGCCTGCCATTGATTCTGGGGTCTGGAGCTCAGTGGTCTGATTATAGGCTCCTCAGGGTCATGCACTTCCTGAGAGCTATGCGGTTTGTCCCTCTGGCCCCTTCCCAGGGCTCTGTCACAACTAGGGACACAGGGACGGTACAGTCCTGGTTAGGGTGTTTTCCCTGCCGCTCCAGCTTCCTGCCCTGCTGCAGCCGCAGAGCCTCTTTTCCCCACCTTACCTGAGTAAGTCTTTCTTACTCAACAGAGCTGCTGGGAACAAGGCCCTCAAAGGGGCCCTCCACTACGACATCTCTGAGATGAGATTCTGGTACGGCCTTTTCTCTCTGAAACCCAAATTTCCAAGACTTTAACCATAGGAGGACCAAGACAGCAGAGTGCCTCAAACAAAATGGCATCCAGGAAGCCAGAAAGAGAAAGGACAGAGACAAGGGAAGGGAAAGAGGCCTGTGTGAGGAGATGGCAGGGATACTGCCGGGCACTGGCAGTCAGGCGAGAAGTGGAGCCAATCCCTTTTGTTTCTGCCCTCCACGAGACAGGAGCTTGAAATTAAGGAAGGGCTCCATTAATGACAAAACTTAGAGATCGTGGGCACAGATGAAGAGCCCAGAGAAGATCCAGAACAGGGCTTGGTGGACCGCTCCTAGAAGGAGAAGCAGAAAATAGAAGGAGAGGGAGAAAAATCAAAGAATAAGAGAGAAAACTTGACAGGAGGGTGAGGGTAAGAGAAAGTAAGGGGATC